TCGTGTGACACCCAAACATCGAGCTCCTTTTTGAAACCAAGGTTATGCAAATGGTTCCAAACGGTTTTCTGGCTTATCTTTAGTTCCTCAGCAATTAAATAAGTGCTCACGTGACGCTCTGTTTCCACTAGTTCCATGATTTTATCGCAATTTTCGACTACAGGCCTCCCGACGCATGATGCGTCTTTGACATCGAAATTACCGAAGAAATTGCTCATATCCAATCACTATAGCACATAGCTGCCATGCAGACTGACCGATCAAATCAAATTCTCATAAGAAATTTTTTGTATTTATGAAGAGTGTTATAGTTTCCGTGCAATTTATTTTACGTATTTACATGATTCGTTTTCCCTTCAATTCAAGAATGCCCAGAACTAAGACATTTTTTTCTAGTAATAAATATTCTTTATTGTAGTATCTTCATTTTTATACTCTCGCAACTTGTTGCTACAGAGTATAATAGTTTTGTTCACCTAACGGTTGTTTGTATCACCTAAAACTAATAGGTTAGATATAGAGTTATATATATGTAAATGATCAGGATGAAGAAAAGAGTTGAAATCCGGGTGACTGTCTGTCCGTCTGTCCGTCCGTCCGTGCAAGCTGTAACTTGAGTAAAAATTTAGATATCGCCCTAATAGGTTTAATGTACATATCTCCTAAACTGCTAAAGCTATAATAACAAAATTCACTGGAAGCAAAGGTTTTTAGCACCTCTATTGACGGTGTGAAAATGGGTGAAATCGGGTGACAAGCCCCCCCACTCCCCATATAACGGTACTGTTAAAAAATACTAAAAGCGCGATAAACAAAGCACTAAACACGCCTGAGGCATTACATTTTATCTCTGGGATGGTATCAGATGACTTGGTGGGAACCGCGTTCAAAATTAGTCAGTGGGCGTGGCACCGCCCACTTTTAGGTGAAACCCTATATCTTGGGATCTGCTTAACCGATTTCAACCAAATTCGGTACATAACATTATTCTCATATTTCTATGTTATAATATGAAAATGGACGAAACCGGATTACAACCACGCCTATTTCCCATATAACACCATTTTAAATTCCATTTTATTCTTTCACTTTCCAGTATGCAAATCAAGCAAAAATTATTGTATCGGGGTAAAACTTTGCGTGAATAAAATTCTCTAAATTGAACCAAAACTGTTCAAGCCTCTAGGTACTGATTATGTGGACCCCAGTGCCTATAGTTGACTTTTTACCGAAAATATCGGTCAACATAAAATAGGCGGCAAGATCCACAAAGAAATCTAAAACGAGTATACCATTTGACTTTGCGAGAGTCTAAAATGTTCGGTTACATCCGAACTTAGCCCTTCCGTACTTGTTATTTCTGCATTTGTACATAACAATTGATTAAACATTTTTCAAAATCGACACTTGAAAATTTACTGACTGCTTAGCCAGTCGTGTCGTGCCATACCGTTACAAGCCCAAGTCATTTACATTTATTGGTCTTTACATTAGTGCTGAGCAGCTTAAGCGCCAATAAACTTTTCACTAAATACGAACCAAGGTGTAGTGGAAATATATATCCACATGCATATATGCTGCCTCGGATAAACTTTTGAAATAATAGTTATTTCCATGTGTGTCACTTACCTCCTTTTTAAATTTTTTCCAACAGTTTTTAGCTCATCGCTTTTTATTGCTTGACCTCAGTTAGTTGCTACAAGCTAGCCACTAGCCTGTTATGTATGTATATGTGTATGTATGTGAACTGGAAAAGTAAACACAGTCAGCTGCAGTGACAAACTACTTTTTGCCCTTAAATCAACTTTCTTTTAGACACACACACACTTGCTTGGACAGCTTGAATATAGTCTGCCAGGGTTTTCTTTTCATTTCTTTTTTACTCTCCACTTTTTCACCCTCTGAAGAAGCGTTCTTTATGCATTCGCTCGTTCATTCATTCACTGCAAACTGGTCATGTTTCACCTTATTTTATGGCCTGCAATTGCAAGTGTTAGGTAGTCCTGCGGCAACTGTCACACACACGCATCCGTAACCATCTACATATATGTATGCATGGGTAATTATATGCACATATATGCATTATAAGTACTCACATGTAGAACAAAATTGCGCCTGTGTTGACAGTGGACATGCATCAAAATAGTGAGCTTTAAGCAGTGCTGAGCTACCACATGTTGGCTGGAGAGTTATAGCTTTCGTTTTTATACCCTGAACAGGCTACATTAAGTTTGCCACGAAGTTTGTAACACTCAGAAGGAAACGCCGGAGACTCAATAAAAATTATATATAAATGATCTGCGTGACTGATTTAACCATAATCGTCTGTCCGTCTGCCTGAATATACGGATGATTCTAGCATATACCTGCCATACAAACTACAAAATACAAATATATACCTGTGAAAGGTATTATAACATTGGTGCAGACGAAGTTAACGCTTTTTCTTGTTTTCGTTATCACTTTACTTGAATAGAAGATATAAAATGCTGCAGTTTTTTAACATGATAGAAAAGTATTGCTATTGAGGTGGAAAAAGCGAAATTTTGTTTCTCGTCCAATTAGTCGAACTGTATTAATTAAAATCTCGTGGATGAAATGCTGTAATTTAAGAAAAACGCAGTTCATGAAAAATAGGACAAGACATTCCAACTAGGTCGAAGCCTAATATTTTAGGCTATCTTATACGGAGAGAGATCAACACATGGGCAGAGAAAAATAATGAAACTTTCATATAGCTATATTAATTTTTAAGCATCTATTGCAAACTGAGGCATACATCTACTACATCTGTCCATCGAAATTCACAATAATTTTTATAATATATTTTGTTCTCCAATTCGTTTTTTTATTTACAAAAAGATATATTCATTAATATTACCGGAAAACTAAAAACATCGTTTGTATTCTTACATCCGTTTAGTTCTGTTTGATTCTTATATTGTAATATCCTATTCAAAATATTAATTTTTATACTCTTGCAACATAGGTACTGCCACAGAGTATTATAGCTTTGTTCACCCAACGGTGTTTTGTAACATTTTAATCTAATCGAGATATATATAGAGTTATAACTGAACATGATGACAAGGCGAGTGCATGTCTGTCTGTCCATATGTCATTTCGTGCAAGCGATAATTTGATAAAATAATAAGATATCTTGATGAAATTTAATACACGCTTGGCAAGGGGGTTTGGTAATGCAAAAGGACGAAATCGGTTTATTGCCACGCCCACGAAGTGCCGTTAAGCGCAAACATATGTATAAAGGGCTATAACTAAACTCCAAATTAAAATGTGTTTTTGCACGTATAGAGCTGGTAAGGGGCATTTTTGAAAATTTGTAAAAGTAGGGTATGGTGCGCCCACTAAAAGGGTTAATGAGCATATCACAGAAACTACATAACCTATTTCAACCAAACTTCTTAAAAGAAAGTCTTTTGAAAGCTTGTTTAATTACTGTGAAAATCGGTTATCTCAAATGATAACCACGCCTAATACGCTAATAACGGTTATGTTGAAAACTGTTAAAATATGATAACTCAATATGATATTGCGTCAGGGACATAAAATGTTGGCTGAGATCTTATCACATGTATGTCATTTGAGTTAAGTAGGTTAATATTAAAAATAATATCTCGGATATAATCGGTTTTTGAGATATCGAAATTTCGGATCGGAATCAAGTTCTGGTAAGGGATCTTTTGTATTTGTGGAGGGTATTATAGCTTCAATACAAGTGAAGTTATCGTTTTTTCTTGTTTAAAAACATGATTTTTTAAAGAGTTTTCGTTATTCGATTTATAGGGATCTACTTGTATGTTATAGCCTTGTAAAACAAATAATAGGAAACCAAGTATGGGTCCTCCCGTTAACGCTGAGAACGTTCAGCAAAAATATTTCTTAGTCGCACGTAAAATTTTCAATTTTACTATTTTTAAGGCTTCAAAGTATGTAGGGAACTGGAGCAGTATTTTATAAATCCTTATTAAAAAATTTAAATCCACTTAATCCCATGCACATTGTTATAATATACTTGTATGATGTCGGTATTTTAGATATACATATGTGAAACTCCTGGGTCCCTAAAAGAAAATTCGTCAGTAGTTCAGGTTGGTTTAAAACCTTTAAGTCCCATCCAATACTCATCAAAAATCATGTCTGCTTGACCAAAGCAATGATATGAATTTAAAGAGTACAAATTGTACCTGATACTGAGGGTGTGATTGCGAAAGAATACAGATACAGAAAGGCTACAATATACCTATATTGTTTTGTGCCATTATAAATTGTTTAATGAGGGAGAGGCTTGAAACCCCAAAAAATTCAATCTCCAAACAAAAAACTCTTCAATTCAGAAAGGAGTTCTTAGCGTTAGGACTGATGATACCCCGGTGTTGGATCGGCTAGGGTTATTTTTCTAATGCTCGGCTGAAGTCCGCCATTGAAAAAGGGAGTGTTTTGGGGATTTTGAAATGGACTAACCCCTTTGACGATTAGGAGGTCGCTATGTATTGTATTGTGGCTGATAACCGAGCAGAAGATTACACATGGACGACGAAAATACAGCTTAAGATAGATGAAACCCTTATGGATTGAAAAATTTACTTGAGTACATAAAAAATATGCTGAGGAGTTAGAATTCGATTTCACTTAGTTCATTCGGGCGACAGAAGGTGTGAGTGAGAGAAAAGGTTTTAATTACAAGTATTGCCTCGCCAGAGCAGAACAATGCACGCCAAAGTCCAAAAATTATTTCACCTCGCTAATTTTCATAAAATTTACTAGCTACTAATTGGTCAATGACCGGTCAGGACTCGAATTATTATAGACAGTCATACATACTTTACAGAGTGCGAGAAGCTTACTCAGTTGATGTAACGCTCACTAAACTGATGTGAACGAACAGTAAACCACAAAAGGAATACTGCTCAGTCCCATGACATTGACAGCGGGTGTTGATAATATTGCCTGCATAGTAATATTATTAATCCACCGAGAAGAATAAACAAACAAATTCATTATTTTATTTATACATATATAATATAGACACAAATATAAGCACGTATAAAGAATATCTGATGGACGTAGTGATCAACAATTCCTTTGTGTGATCGTTTAAATATTTCATTTCGTGGTAACCAATGTTATGCATTCATTCTCCATTCATTTGGGCATTGTTTTGGTTTTCATTCTTCACCCATTTTTTGCTACGCCAGTCAGCTCCATTACATTCGCGAAATCTCGACACACCACTATGCACACATTACATATGCACAATTTGCCACACACGAAAAGAAATTAAAGCAGCGAAGTGGACACTAACTCCAACGTACACACAGAAAAAGGAAAAACCACGCACATACGGGGTATGAACATGGGAAAAAAATGGTTTAGTTTATAGAGCATGAAAATACATGCATATATACATACATATGAGTGTGTGATTTTCGGTGGTGTGAGCACAAAAACTTTCTAGAAACACAGAAAAAGTGGCACATACTCACAAATGAATTTAATGAAATAAAATTAAAACAGAAAATATCAATGGATCTATAAACTCATAAAAATAAATTGAATTATTCCCATTTTGATAGCAGACAACCCAACTACTACAACAATAAAATTCGAGTTGAAGAGAAACCAAAAATGGAAAGCGGCGCAAAAAAGTTATCAAACACATATGAGATTTTTTCACTGGGGTTGTGCACAGGTTCAAGCGAATTTAAACTTATTAAAAAAAACTTTAAAATACAGGTTAATGAAACACTACTTTCCACCGTAAATATTCGATATTTTTAAACAATATTACATTATTTATATATATTGATCCGTAATTGAATCACTAGCGCTTCCTATATACTACTAGTATTTTGCTCAACTACGCCAGTAGAGCTAATTTATTTGAAAATGATACAAGGTATTCTTCTACTCGTAAACATAGAAACAACTTACAAAAACGTCAATTTCGATAAAAAGATCTATATTTTGATTTGGATCGCTCAGTTTGTATTGCAGCTTTATGCTGTATTAGTCCGATTTGAATAATATATGTTAGAAGATTTTTTTTTTTTGTGGACAATTTTTTTACAGTAAACTTTGTGAAGATATCTTGTCTAATAGAAAAGTTTTGTATACAACAACTTGATTTTGATCCATCAATTTATAAGGCTGCCCTATCCGATGGTGGTCTGATATCGCCGGTTTCGACAAATGAACAACTTGTTTGGGAGAAAAAGGCGTATACAAAATTTCAGATCGACATCTCAAGGGTTTAGAGATTAACTTGCGTATACATCGACTCAGGTCATCACGTTTATCAACTATACTATATTATTTATAGCGTCTCCGACGTTTCCTTCTGAATGTTACAAACTTCGTGGAAAACTTCAGACAGCATCTACCAATAGAGATTACATGCGTTTGGCAGCTAGTGACATCCATGTGTGTTAACGGATTTATGTAAAATTTTTTCAGTGTGTTCAGTAAGGTTCGCAATTTCCTTATGTCATCTTTTCGGTTGGAACCACGTTTGGAAATTTTCGAAGATTATTACGCAAATTTACGTTATCCGGTGGCTACGGTAAGAGCTTTTTGCGCAAAACACAGTCATCATAATGCTCTTGCTGAGCGCGCTATTCAACGCATAATTCCAAAATTTGAAAATGGTTATAATTTCTACGATATTGTGCCATCTTCCCGTTTAAAGAAAAGCCCGTATTAAAGGGAATATCGCTGTCGTTCAGGCCAGTGTTCAGGTCAATACAAATCAGTCGGTTCAACGTCGTGCTGCATAATTGGGTCTCTCTGATGACAACATGGCGAATTCGGTGGTTGGAAGTGGCTCTTCATCTATATAAGATTGTGTTGGTACAAGAACTAAAGTCGTCTGACCATTTGAAGCGCCATAGCTTTGCCGATTGCACGCTGGAAATGATATAAGCCAACAATGATTTTCATCGAAAAATCATCTTCTCAAATCTAAGTTTTATAAAGAACTAAATTACTGTTTTATTTTGTGCTTAGTTATGATATTTTGTAAGTTTTCGATTAAGAGCGTTTTCGCAGATGGACAGACACTCACTCGGATTTCAACTTTCAAACTATGATATTCTGTAGCAACATTTTGCAGGAGTATAAGAATAATAACGAGTTTATCGAGTTCAATCAAAAGAAGAGAAAGTTCAGAGAAGACCTTTTTAAAGTAGTATAAACACTATCTTAAATCTGCCAAGTTTTTTTTAACATCGTAGATCAGTTTTACTGTTTAGTTTATTTTAGTTTAGTGAATGACGCCTATGACAAATAACTCAAAAATCAAGAATACCAAAAAATTGTTTTTTGTTGATTTTCAAATCTTAAAATTTAAAATTAATTACAGTTTTTTAGAGAAAACGTAAGTCTGGAATTCAAAAGGCTACCAAAATATTTACTATGGAGGAAAGAAGAATTTCTTTATCAAAAAAAGAATTACAACACATGTCAGAGGACATGTTAGCGCAAGGTTGCAACGCAGGGTTTTACGATTCATTACTCTCCAGTGCTTAGCGAATCACAGACACCTATTTTCTTAAATTTTTTTGTAAATGGGAACTAGTTGTCTTGTATGAAGCTGATGCTCACCAATGCCACAGTCGAAAAAGTTTCGTAGAAACAGAATAAGCAGAAGACGCTATTGAAGACAGCTTTAAAATTTCCTAATATAAAATGGTTAATGTTCTACCTATTTCTCTCGTTAGTTCCTAAGTTTTCTAAGCTAAAGGAATATTAGTTTTAGAATTTTATATCTAATATAAATTTGTTTGTAATTTGATCGGGTAACAACGCCAAAAATGATATATCTGTAATAAAGTGATTCATAAAATACTTATTTTAAATTTTTATATAACATTGGCAACATTTAAAAGGTTATTATATAATCTCTCATCAGGGCTCGTTTATTCTAGGAGTTAGGGAAAAGCAGCTGCATTTCTCCCTTTTAAGTTTTGCTAAACTTAAAACATTGACCTTTATTACAAGAAATTTAATCAAAAGTTTACTCGGCAACTAAATTTTCATCACCCTTTAATTTTGGTTAGATGCTAGCCCGAAAGAAAAACAATCAAACTTCGTGGCCATTTAGTTGGCTTTGTTATTCTTCATTAAACAGCATTACTATGTGTGAGTGTCATTGTATACCGTTTTTTCTTGCACACACATATTCTTTCATATCTTATTTTTTCGTTATATAATATATATATGTGCATGTATGTACGCGTGTCTTTCGCCATTTTCGGTACGTCATTTGGGACTTGACTTTGCGGGTATTAAATTATACATCATTTCACAACAAATGATGGTCGTTATTCTTTCTGAATGGCTCTACTCAGTGAAATCCACAGCTGAGCTAAGCCCCGGCTGTATTTTTGTGTTTGTATATGTTTCACTTTAACGTAGACCTGTATGTATACCGTTACTTTGCAACTCTAAAGGCAGTTGATAGAGTCATCAGCCATTATTTGTGCCGTTATGCATGATATTGTGGTTGTTGTGTGCACTTGAATTCGTTGTTTTGCAATGTTTGACTAACGTGGTGAGTTTATGAAGCAAAAAACAGTTATTGATGTATTTACATATGTTGCTGTGGTAGCTTTAGTAGTATTTTGTGTCTTTAGGGTTTCACACTTGTCAAAAGAATGTGCATACGGTTATATAATATGATGTACCGATACAAATGTATGTAAAAGTAGAGTTGTAAAATTTTACTTCAAGTGAAACACAGAAAAATATATAGAAAGTAGCGGTAATGTAGTCTTCCGTTGCTGAAAATTGAGGACTGATAACGCATTCGGCATGCAAAGCGAAATATTTTTTTTTCAGATTATCTACGACCTCGCTAATCCTGAAATGCGCCCCATAAATATACAGTGCGCTCAAATAATAACGTTATAGTGATCTGATCTGACCAATTTCTGTGGAGAATAATTTGTTGCCTTAAGCAATAACTCGAGCCTGATTTCGTGAAGATACCTCGTCAAAAATAAAAATTTTCCATGCAAGCACTTTACTCCGATCCTTCAGTTAATATGGTAGATATATACTATAGTCATCCGATCTATACAATTTCTTTGGAGTTTGGATTATTGCCTTAAATAATAATACACGCCAAATTTCATGAAGATACCTCGTCAAATGAAAGAGTTTTCCATACAAACACTTGATTCCGATTGGTCAGTTTGTATGGCAGCTATATGCTATAAAGGTCCGATATCGGCCGTTCCAATAAATGAGCAGCTTCTTGGTAAGAAAAGGACTTGTTCAAAATTTCAGATGGATATCTCAAAAACTGAGGGACAAGTTCGCGTATATACAGACGGACGGACAGACGGACATGGCTAAATCAACTCAGCTCGTCACGGTGATCATTTATATATATACTTTATATGGTCTCCGCCGTTTCCTTCTGGGTGTTACAAACTTCGTGGCAAACTTAATATACCCTGTTCAGGGTATAAAAATGAGTGCTTAGTAAAAGAAACGTTTTGCCTTTCTAACGAATCATCGTAAAGGTCCCAAATGGACTATTAAAAATCTTCAAAGTATTTAAATATGAGTTTTACATTTGTGGAAAGGTGGTGTGATCATAATGGAGAAACTATAAAGCCAGGAAAAATTGAAAATCTCGTGTTAACTAAAAGTGAGGACAAATCTATTGTTTTCTTGTTTGAGAAAAAACCACTGAACAGTCTAAGAGAAGCTAAACAAATTTTGTTTTAAAAGAGATTAGATATGTCTCTAAATACAATATGGGACTGACTTCAAAGATGTGGTACTATAGTCAAATACTTACTTTCAAAAACACACATTAAAAAGGTTGGAGCGATGTAGTACTTACAGAAGAGTCAGCATTTGTATTGTTCAACCCTTGGAGACGTGTTGTGGCTATGAAAAGGATGAACATTTACTCAAAAGGTGAATGTTTATGGATGCTACTCTACTCATAGATTTGAGGTTTTGAGATGTTTCACAAAAACGCTGAACGCTGGTAGAGTGATAAAATTGTATAAAATTTATTGAAGTCAACTAAAATGCTTCATGGCAAGAATAACCATGATTGGATACTACAAGAAGACAATGATTCGAAATATAGCAACATACTCAGTACTTAATGGAAACAAGAAAACCATATTGTTACTTTAGATTGGCCATCACGGTCACCAGACACCAAACCGCTACTTGAACATACCTAGAGGTGTTTACAGACAAGTAAAGGGTAAACATACAAAAGAGTTAAGGGAAAAATGTATGTCAGATAAACTCTAAATTGTGCACAAATATTAATACTTGCATTTTATAATATGTTCTCAATTTGAGATGTATACGATCACCAATTTCCGACCAACCAAATACCGAGTTTGTGGCATAGTATTTATTGATAAACATCAACAGCTGCCTAACACGCATGAATTATCATGTGGAGATCAAACTGCACACGAAAATAAAAAAGCTTACAGCACCATGTCTTGACCATGTTGACTAAATCGGTGAATATATACGTCATTTAAAAAAAAGATGTGGATCCATAAAGAGAG